TGTAGAATTCCTCGTTGTATTGGAAATAAGTTGATTGTAGGCAAATAGTCGTTAGTTCCATGATGATGTCTATTTTCATGTCAGGAACAAAACAGCCTACCTTTTCTTGACATACTTATCAGCAGACAAAAAATCACCACAGTTGTATACAGAAAACCTACCCACATGAACAAATACCTACACTTTCAGTCCTATCATCCAACCTTGATAAAATGTGGCATAATTCAATGCCTAAACAAGAGAGCAGAAAACATTTGCCATAAGACATCCATCCAAATAAAATGCCAAAAGATCATAGAGGGTTTTAAACAGAATGGTTACACTTTCTCCTTCATCAAAAACTCCCTGAAAAAAGACCACAACAGAAAGAAAAAATCAGAAAAACACTACCATTTACCTCTCCTACCTTCAAAATTTCAGTGAAAAACTCAAACGAATAGCCAAGAAGTCCGGTGGAAATCCTACAAGACATTAAGGTCCATTCTGGTAAAAAACAAACAGCAACTTATCAATAAGAAATACGAAAATGTCATTTATGAAATTCTGTGTTCCTGCAACGAAACATACATTGGAGAAATGGGAAGAAAACTCATGACAAGAATAAAAGAACATTGACAGTACAAGACTCATGAAAACACGAAATTCAGCCATTGCAGAACACGCCATGCCAACTGGACACAAAATAAAGTGAGAAAAAACTAGAATCATTGACACAGACAAATTTTGGAAGACAAGAAAAAATTAAAGAATAATTTTATATTAACAAAATTAAACCTTCACTAAACAGAGATTCCAGATTAGAGGGGCTGTGGATACCATTGGTTGAATCTACAGGAAATCTCTCCTGCAATCAGAAACAGGGACAAACCAACCAATCATAACATGCTCTCCACAACCCACCAGAATACTATGAAGACCAACAATACCTTACACACACTGACCTGAAGACGAAAGGCAGAAGACTTTCAAAATGTTGTTCTCTACAACAGGCAGTTGCCATCCATTCTACAAAGTTTCATCATAAAACTTTGATATTCAAGTAATTTCATCAGTCAGTAGTTTATATACTGTTAAT